TATATATCAAGTTAAAAAGTCTTTCATACAGCTTATAAAATGCCCACCTTATGTACTAAATATAATGTATTATGTACTGTACTAAAAATGTACAACAACCCCATCATATTATCGCTATAAAAATGTTATTGCTTGTATTGTTGTTAGCTAGTGTAAAAGTGTGTTATTATTATTGTAGAAAACAACAATAATAATAATACCTTTCATGTCCATGCTCATCTTGCATTATCATTACATCCAATCAAAATCCCTAAGATTAAAGCATCCAATGTAAAATCTAAATTCCAAAACTTAATGCAAATAAAAATTTAAAAATATTTGTTGTACTAGTAGTACAAAAGGGGGGGTTGTGGAAGCAGAGAAAAAACTGACAGGAAGGGGATTGCAATGCATGACAGTTTGTTAGCAAGAGTCAGGCTAACTGTAACCCTAATAACGCGAGATCTGTAGACGCGAGGATTGTGTGAGGCAAGTGGGAAAGAACTGTGTGAGAAGTTGTTGCGACCTTGTGTAGATAATGTGTAGAAAATATTGTATGTAGACTAGAGTTAAAACAAGTGAGAAAAATAAGATATCAAGATGGCCTATGTATAAACAAAATGCAGCTGTTGCTTATTATTGTCTGTAATGAAAGGTATAAAGGTTTGCTGTAACTGTTTACCACTAGAGAGACCTGTTTAGCTCTTTCCCTCTACGCAATTGTTAAGAGAAAATAAAGTATCTGACTTGCTGTACCCAAACAAAAAGTGAGAACTCTGTTATTCTCCAACACTATCTATCTATCCCCATCCACCCCATCTATCTATCTATCTATCTATCTATCTATCTATCTATCTATCTATCTATCTATCTATCTATCCCCACACGCCCCATCTATCTATCTATCTACCTATCTATCCCCTTGCATACAGAGGTTCCCAGTGCTGAGGGCTGGGACAGACCCTTTACCCAAGTGAGGTGTGATGGTTCCTTCCCGCTGTGTGTCCCTCCACAGAAGGGGCACCTGATCTGAACACCCTGCCTTGCTCTCCTGCTCATCCCCCTGACCTAGGGTGTTGGTGCCTGTCTTGCTCGAGGCCACCTACCATCCAAACTGGGGCCCACACAACTGCCCAACCCTCCCCCCCCCCCATCAGGCCAAAGCCCCCAGCCAGAACCCCAATGGCCACTGCTTCCTCCAGCCCCACTACAACTACACTCGCCCTGATGCCTACTCCGATACCCGCACCCACCACTGCCAGGAACCACCCCCCGACCCCTGGCCAGGCCCAACCACTCGGCCTTCTTCACTTTAAAGTGCTGCCCATAGGCCGTCAGAAACTCGTCCATCTGCTTGTCCAGCTCCTTCTTCAGCTCCTCCAGGGCTGCCTGTTTCTGGGGGTCCTCACCCCGCAGCTCCCCCCGGCAGCGCTCCAGCAGCTCCTGGCGTTTCCCCTCCAGGCGTCGCTGCATCTCCACGGGCTTCACTTCTATCCCCAAACATCCTCATATCTATCTATCCCCT